ATCATCGACCAGCTGCCTCTTGCACACCCCCTACTGGGGATGTGCCCGCAACCAAGGTACATGCCTGACTGGAATTGAACCCGGGACCTTTCAGTCCGCAGGCCGACGCTCTATCCACTGAGCTAAACCAGTTTCGGCAAATTGTAATTTTTTTTAATTTTAATTTTTTTTACGGAGGAAGGCAAAGTGCTCATGACCCATGAAAGTCAGAGGCACCAGATTGCAGGGTTGCGCAGTGAAGCAGGCAGCAGGAAGTGGCTGACGTGGGCTCAGAGGCGGGGGCCAGGGCTCTGGAACATAGCTGCAGGGGGCAAAGCCCAGGTCCGGCTCTGTGGCATTCAGGTGGTCCCGTGCCCTCAGTCTGTCCCGTTTCCACCAACCTCGAGAGTCCAGTGAGGTGGGTTGGAGTGGAGAGGGGGTGCCCAAACTTTCCATTTCCTGGGAACTTGATGGCACAGCCCTGAGTACCGCTGACCACCGGTGAGCACCAGCGGGAGTGTGGAGGGGTGGCAGGCTGGGGGCCAGGGCACAGCACAGACCCTGACTTCTGCGTCTTGAGGGTCACACTGCTGCATGGCGGCATCCTCCACATCACCAGCGTACGCCAGGCTGTGGTGGGCACCTACCGCTGTGTGGCCAATACCCGGCATAACCAGGGTGCCCAGCTGACCCTTAGTGGTAAGCAAGGACGGGGGGAATCAAAGTGGGCACCAGGCACAGAGGAGGGCATGGGGAGCTGGCACCACTGGGAGTAGGTTTGGCGATGTGGCTGTAGGTGGTACAGATGCTTTGTACAGACACGTTTGGAGCACCTATGACCTGTGAGGCACTGCTGGGTGTTGGAGGTGCAGCAGTGGGCAGACAGCACATCCTAGTACAAAGGGAGGAGCTGTAGGAACCCAGGATAGGACCTTGAACCCAGCTTTGGGCTGGAGATGGTCAGGGCTTCAGGAATAAGTTCTACCAGGCTGTGTGTGGGTGAGGTGAGGCCAGGAAGGTGGAGAGGTCAGGGAGACTGAGTGAGCAGCCAGGTCAGGAAGGTGGAGAGGGTGGCATCCCCGACATTTCCTTGTGCAGAAGCACAAGGTGAAAAGAGAGTGGCCGGGCCGGGGTAAGAGTCAATGTAGGCCAGGCCCTCTGTGGAAAGGAGCTGGGACTTGACCCAGAGGCAGTGGGAACCCTTGATGGATTGGGGGGGGGGGGAGGGGGGGGATGCGGGCTCAGAGTCAGCCTGTGTCTTGGCTGGCAGTGGATGCCTGGGTGCAGTTCCGTGTGTGTGTGTGTGTGTGTGTGTGTGTGTGTGTGTATGTGTGTGTGTTATATACATGTGAGATGTGAAAGTGCGCCTGTGTTTGTACCTGTGTGCTTGCATGTTTCCTTCTTGGGTTCTGATAACAAGTTTGTAACTGAGACTAAATACCCAGGGTAAATACAGGCCTCTTAGGGTGGGAGGGTTTTATGCCTGAGGAGCTGGTACCAAGCAGGAGCCAGTGTGATGGGCCCCTCAGCCAGAAGGGGGAGCTGCAGGTGGCTGAGGGGAGTAGCGTCTGAACTGCCCACTAGGGGGCTCCATAGTAGAAATAACAAGGAACCTTGGGAAAGTGCCAGTGCGCCTAGGCACCGACAAAATTTCATCAAAGGATGTATAACTTCAAAAAAAAGTTACTGTGAGACCTTCCAGAAATAATACATCTGTCTCAGTTTTACTTAAAAATGTGTCTTTATTGTGAGAGGAATGCCCCATCCATTTTGGAGATGGAACCAAAACCCAGGCATGTACCCTGACTGGGGAATGGAACACCAGCCAGGGCCAAAAGATGTATAACTTAGACTGAAGATTGAAAGGGGAAGGGAGGGAGCTGTTGTGTGCCTAATCTGGAGGCAATTTATACACTGAAAGCGGAGAGTGGTGCAGAGGCTCCTCCCTGAGAGTAGAGGGGGTCCTGGGACGGCCTCCCACTTCTCATTCCCCATCAGCCACCTGGGCAGGGGGGCTTCCATGGTCCTCAGTGCTCCTGGTCAAGTGCCAGGGCGTTGGGCAGGCATGGCTCTCCACCCTGCTGCCATGGAGGCAGGGGAATGAACGGCCAGTCTTAGGAAGGGGAGGAAGAGCAGCAGGCTCTGCTGGGAGCAGAGGATCAACCAGTAACAGAGGGCTCGAGGGTTTCCTAAATGTTGAGAAAGGAGCTGGGGTCAGCGCAGGCTCTTCTCCAGGGACAGGAGCTGGGACCAACACCCTGACCATTCACTCCTCAAGCACTCCCCTGGGTGCGCCTTACCACGGAGGCACCAGGGAGATAGGTTTTCCCGGACTCAAGGTTCGAACTGTGGCAGGAGGGGTATGCTGCCAGCTGACCAGTACCTCTAAGACCCAGGTTTGAGTCCCATTTCTGCCAGTTCCTCAACCTCTCTGACACGTGGTTTTCTCATCTGCAAACTGGAGAAATTAAAGCAGTTGCCACAGGCTTTAGTGAGGATGAAGTGAGACAAGGTGTGTGGGCGGGCTCACCATACAACGCCGGGGAATGAGGGGGGGCTCAACCAGCTGTAGACAAGTCGTCATATGGTCCAGGTTCTAGCCCACTGAACAGTTGGACCAAGCAGAACACAACCTCCTTGGTCAAGGCCAGGACATTCCAGGACAGCTCAGGGCTGAACTAGAGCTTTTAAGAGACAAATGGAGGAGGGCCTGGCCCCAAGTAGGAATGAATGAATGAAGGGATGAATGAATGAATGAAATACTGGCAATTATATATATTTTTTAATCAGAGAGGAGAGGGAGAAATAGAAACATCAATGATTAGACAATTATTGATCAGCTGCCTCCTGAACCCCTCCCCCTGGCCTTGTGCCCTTTACTGGAATCGAACCCAGGACCTTTCAGTCCGCGGGCTGATGCTCTATCCACTGAGCCAAACTAGCTAGGGCGAGGCACAATATTTTGTATGAAAAGTTCTTGATAAAGGACATATATGAAAGAGTTAAATATATGTTACCAAGTCTCAAAAAACAAAAATGAAGGTGACGCCGAAACCGGTTTGGCTCAGTGGTAGAGCGTCGGTCTGCGGACTGAAAGGTCCCGGGTTCGATTCCGGTCAAGGGCATGTACATTGGTTGCGGGCACATCCCCAGTGGGGGATGTGCAGGAGGCAGCTGATCGATGATTCTCTCTCGATGTTTCTAGCTATCCCTTTCCTTTCCTCTCTGTGAAAAATCAATAAAATATATATTTTTTAAAAAAATGAAGGTGACTATTGGCTTTGTTTCTATCCAGTGGTTTGGGGGTCCGCTGCGACAGGTCTGAGTGAGGAATTATTTTGAAAACCTGCAGGGGAGTGGATGGGAGGGCACAGAGACAAGTACAAGGAAAGAAAGGTTAAAAAAAAAAAAAAAAAAAAAAAGGTAAAGGATAAAGGAAAAGTAAGGCTTATTATCTCTTTGCTGTCACAGCCACACTCAGCTGCTGGCCATGGTACCCCCAGTGATGATTTGTTTCGGATAAGATGGGAGTGAGTAGCTTAAACATTGATGCAGAGAGACCCAAATAGTGTACAGTAGACCTTTGATTTTTGTGGACCTTGATTTAACAGATTCAGGTTTAGTAGATAAAATTCGTATCCATGTGTCATATGTAAAATTTAGCACCCTGTTCATTTTTAAATGCTTTTAACTCAAGATTTGCTTAAAGTCAAATTAATAGATTTTTGTTATTAATTCACTGTTATTTTAAAAATATATATTTTATTGATTTTTTTACAGAGACAACGGGAGAGGGATAGAGAGTTAGAAACACCAATGAGAAATATCCATCAGCTGCCTCCTGCATACCCCCCACTGGGGATGTGCCTGCAACCAAGGTACATGCCACCCTTGACCCGGAATCAAACCTGGGGCCCTTTAGTCTGCAGGCCGACGCTCTATCCACTGAGCCAAACAGGTTAGGGCAATTCACTGTTATTTTAAACAAATTTTAGTGAACAGGCCATATGTTGGAGAAAACACTAGTAATTTCACTGACAATAAATATTATATATCTACAAATACAGTCTACATATTTAAATCCAAGAGTCATGGCTTGTAAACAATGGTTAGCATGTTTACCATACCTTTCTGGGCATGGTAATTGGTTCTGATGTCACGTGGCCTTTCTGCAGTTTTTGTTTTTTATTAATGCTCTCCTGAGGATGTTTTTGCCATTGCTTTTTCAAAGAGTGGAAGGGAGAGAGGGGAAGAGAGAGAGAAACATTGATGTGAGAGAGCCACATCGACTGGTTGCTTCCTGCACCGACCCAACCCAGGGCAGGAGCGAATCTGCAACCCAGGTATGTGCCCTTGACCTGGAATGGAACCAGAGACCCTATAGTGTGCAGGCCATGCTCTAACCATTGAGCCCACCCCAGCGCTCTGCAGTAGTTTTAACTGGTTCAGGCCAGCTGTGTGCATTTGTTTACTCTGGGTGACTGGTGAATGAATGAATTGAAAGGAAAACATGGGGGAGTGGGTTAAGGTGGCACACAGAGCATTCTAGGTTTTTAGGGGATGGTACATACAGACTAAGGAATGATTCCGCAGTTTGCTAAGAGCAGTGTGAGCTGCTAGTATAAGGTCCCACCTGGAGAAACCAGCATGTCACAAAGAATTCAGTCACTAGAGACTAGAGCAGTATGCAGGGCAGGGCTGGGGAGGGCTAGGAAACACCTCTACCTAGCACACAATGGAGACCCAGACTTTGGATTAAATGCTACCTCCTTCCAGTTACCTTTAGACCTTAAGTCATCAGGTAGCTAAAGTGGGGTCAGAAGCTTCTGGAACACTGGCTCCACATGGAGGGGAATATGAATACAGATGTAGGTAAGGGCTTTAAGTAATCATCATGATTGGAAAGGGTACAAACCAAAGGTACTCCATGACTGTAGGGAGTACAACCCAGAGCCCATCTCCCAATTATCCCTAAAACCTCCCAACTGCCCACCATGACTAAAGCACAAGCCACAGGAAAGTTTAGAAACCATTCCTTTCTTTATTAAACATAGCTTGCAAGTGATAAATATTACAAAGTTTTTTTTTCTTTTAATCCTTTCTCCAAAAATTAGCTTATTATTTGAATCTGTCACTACTGAAATGCTCAGCAGCATCTGAAACAGATGGGAGTGTATTTGCCTTTTTGAAACCCAGTTTCTATTGGTCTTAGTTTTTTTTTTCATTTTAATTCCCAAACACAATGCAGAAAATTAGAATGCGTTAAAAAAAAAAAAGAAAAGAAAAAGGAAACTTAAAAGAGGGTTGTGCAAAAGGGTCTTGTTCCCCTCCCACCCACCCTATTCAGAAAAGGCCATTCCCCATCCCACCTCCCTGCTCCCCACCCTCCACCCCGTCTATCCTTCCACCGCCATCAGGGCCTCATCCATCATCCTGTAGCCTCTCCAGCTTTCCCCCCAAGAACCTAGTGTGTGGAGCCTCAGCCAGGCTGCGGGAAACAGGGCCCTGACAGACAGACTGTGCGGGACAGCCGTCTTTAGGTGATTCCGAGGAGATACGAGGGAAGGAGACAGGATGGGGACTATGTGTGAGCTCTCCTACTGTGTCACCAAGATGATGGAAGTTTCACAACCAGAAGCTCAGAAAGGGTGTAAGTCACTGTCCATTAACCTGGGGCATTCACCGGTCACCTCCACCCTTAAGAATCCTGTGGCTGTTTGTGAGTGCGGCCTGAGGCCTGGTCCATACCCTCAATGACTAGAGGCATAGGGCAAAGATGTCACAGGTTTACTGATGTCCTAGACACCACTCTGCTGCCTTTCCCAAACCAAGAGTCACAGCAGAAACCTGGCAGCTCTCCCGGGGCCTGGTCACACATATAACCACGTTAGCATAGTTACTCTGGTTTCCTCCCTGGTTTTCCAGCCCAAACTTCTCCTCACCTCAAACTGCTCCCAGGCTGGAGAAGGAAGCATAGCATTAACTTGGTGGCAAGATGATTTCCATTGTAATTTCATAAATAAGAAAACAGACCCAGAAAATTAATTCTACCATAGCAAGTTATAGGAGGGTTTGGGACTAGACCCAGGTCTTCAGACTGTGCCTACAACCACACTCACTTCGTGTTGTGGTTCTCTTTACTTTCAAGTCTGGACTAGGAGCCTTAGCTTTCAGAGTAGCCCAGCCTCACCCCAATTTACAAAGCCTACACTGTGTGCAGATGGACAGGGGTCTCCCCAGGTGAGACTTTCTTAGATGACTTGTTCAAGTCCTTTCTATCGTCCCTTGGCAATCCCCTCTCTCAAAGGCCCATGAAACTAAGTTCTTTTTTTGGGGTGGGGGTGAGGTAGGGGAAATCCCTTGCATAAGAAAGCTTGACACTAAATTTTGTTATATAGGTATATTGTATATATGCTGATGCAGTAAGAGGGGGGAAAAAACAGTGCAAATACAATTACAATTCATAATACTTGGTTTCAATGCCCCCAGGAACTGCCCCATTCCTCGGCTACCTCCCAACCCCCAGCACTTCCCCACAGTATCACCCTAATGCTGGGGGGTAGAGAGGGTGGGCAGGTTAGGGTAGGAGTGGGCTCTGCCAAGGCAGTGCTGGTGACCTGGAGGGAAGACTCCAGGGTGGGGAGGCAAGGCACAGATGAGGGGTGGGTGGTGGGGGAGGTGGCTTCTCTACGGAGGGACGGGTTGGAGCAGCTGCCAGTCTCAGTGTGCTGGGCCCACTCTCCTGCCCACCCTCCACAGCCCTGCCTCCCTGCTTCCTCCCCTTCCCCAGAAACCCTTTTGCACGGATCATACACAAACGGGCACATTACAAAATGACATAACACGGTTTCACAATATCCATGGCTAGGGCTTTTTTTTCTCTTTTTCAGCTTTTTTTTTCTACACAATGTACAATTCCTTTTAAATGAATCAAGAAATAGCTTATATACACGAATGAGTCCTTGTTATAACATCTCGGCAGCAAATATCATAAGCTAATGAAGGTCTTGTTGGAGGGGAAGGGAGCCTAGGACTGGGGTGGGGTGGAGAGAAGGGTTATGCCTTCTGGAGGAATGGGGAGAAAAGGGAGTGGAAGGGGAAAAGGAACAAAAGTAAAATATCAAGAAGCATCTTTACAAAGCAGTTCTATAGCTAATTCTTTTAAAGGGGAAAGGAAAGATAACCAAAGCAGGAACACATCTGTTTTTTAAAAAAAATGTCTACCATACATACATACAAAAATGTGGGGGGGAAATACTTATTCCAGGGATGAAGGAAGTCCAGATGCTGTGGTCAAGTGACAAAAGGGAAAAAGGAAAAAAAAGAAGAAAAAAAAGGGGGGGGGGAGGGGAAAAAGGAAAAAGAAAAGAGACAAGTAAGGGCCTCGGTCCCTCAGCTTTACCCAAGCCTTACCACTCACCCACCTGTTTCAGGCTTCTAGGGAGTAAGCACCATCCATAAACTACTGCTTTCAGAGGCTTTGGGGACGGAGAAAGCCAGGCAGAACTAGTAGGATCCTCTCTGTAGTACCCTGAGCTTCAGAGCTCCAGGGGTAGAGATAAACCTCAACAGAGGGTCTGTTCTCCTGTCTTTAGCTTAGTGTCTATGGGGCCAAGGCCTGGGGCTGGACAGCAACAACAAGGTTGGAGGGACTAAAGGCAATCAGGGATGAAAAAGTAGAGAAATGAGGAAGACAGGGGAGAGGGAGGGAGGTAGGGAGGTGGAAGGCTAATACTTTACCATGATTTAGGGGAACCTTACCCCCATCACTAATCCCTGGGAAGGGTATGAAAATGAGAAGAGAGGGTAAGAAATCAAACCTCAGCGATTGAGCAAAGGGTCATGGAGCTTTACTAGTGAATCAGCAGCCTCTATGTAACTGACCCCGAGGGGATACAAACAGGAAAGACTCCACCCTCTCCCCATTGCCTCAGCACCTTGGCAGGCACTCAGCTATAGGCTTTCCTTCCCCATCATTCCCCCTTCTCTATACATCTGACTTCCAAACACCATCTACAGGCGGCCTGGCTCCCAGGGAGGGGCTCAGTTCAGGGTAGGGACAGACCCCACCCAAACGATATTGCACATTCTCTGTTTCTTATTTTTAATCTCAACTGACAAACTTGGGCACCTCGTACCTCTGAGCTGGGGGAGGGGAGACATAACAGAAATGGCACTTCATCATGGGGGGGGGGGAGGGGAAGGCTAGACAGACATGCCACAAAGGCAAGATGACTTGTAGGGAAAATATTTAAAAATCTTCCAATTTCATGGAAGACAGAAAAGCAAAACCAAACGATTTATCCAGTGCTTTCAAAGCACAGAGGGCAAAGAAGACATGTAAGAATATATCTTTATATATATATATATATATTTTTATAATTTTAAAATAATACCACACCCAGCTCCATTAACACCCCCCTCCCACCACTTACAGTCAGGGGTAACACATTCCCCAGAAAAATACTCGAAACAACCCATCACTACCTGTTCCTAGTGTCTAGCTTCCAGATCATTCACCACTGGGGGAGCACAGACATAGGCTGTAGCTCTGCTCCTTTATTAAGTGCTCAATGAATTTGGGGGCAGGGAGGAAAGAAAAACGCCAGGAAGGCCTTGTAAGGCCAGTATAATCACCCACGGTGGCTCTGGAGAATGGGGAATAGAGGCCAGAGTGGAGAGAACTGAGCCTGATTCTAGCTCCTTCTCCCATCCCATCCCCAAACTTTATAGGGAAGATGTGCAGTTTGTGTGTGTGTGTTAATTTTAAAAGTGCCTTATTTTAAAAAAAATATTTAATTTTTAAAAATAAAAGTGGGGGAACTTCCCCAGGTGGCTTTCAAGGGCAAAATATTAAACAACTCTTCACACCTCTCTGCTGAGAGCATCTCTTTCCAGCACCGTGGTAGCTTTTAGAGCTGGAGAGGCAGGTGGGTGTACACTGTGAGAGCAGAAACCCCGCTTTTACAGTACTTCCCTGACCTCAAAAAACAGCCGGGTCCCCATCCCTCCCCCACCGTATGAGTAAATGGGATACTCATCTCCCCAGTCCCCAAAACAGCAACATTGCACAATTAAATTCATTCTCTACATTAGTAGCACTTAAGGAAGGGGGCAGGGCACAATTAATACAACTCGAGGGGGTGGATGGCGACCATTTCCTAGCAGAGGCCTAAAGCTGGTTTGGACATGAGTGGTCTGGTTCTGAGCAGTTGGCTCTGCAGTCAGTGCAGCAGGGTCAGGGCAAGAATCCAACTTGATTAGGTGCCTCACCCTCACCTCCTGGCACTCGGAGGGTGAAGACAGACAAATGTGAGCCTCAACTGTCAGGAGAGAAAGCCCTTCCTAAGTCTATTTCCTCCCTTTGTCATTTCATGCCCATCCCAACTCTAGGTCACCCAACAAACTCAGGCTGGGAACAATGGGGGGCTGTGGTTACCAGAATAAAAAAATGGGGGATAGGAAAAATTTTTATAAGAAAATAAGATGAAATAATTAATTTGGGCTAGTTAGCCTGGAATAGACTTCCACGACTCCACTAGGCAGGAGACCAATCTTATTCCCCCAGCATCCAGGAGGCTAGGACCTGGTCTCAGGAGGAAGACTTTCTCCCCCTTCTCTGAGTCAGTTGTAGGATGGTTAAGTTTTAAAGCTTCTCCCTCTAGGTTCTTTCCCCTCATTCTCAGAGCCCAACTTCAATCCTAACACTGCCTCCTGAACTGTCCAATCCAGAGACTCCACAGTGGGTGTGCTGTTTCTCCTTGGTTGAGGCCACCACCTCCCCTGGTTAAGTGCTTAAGAACTCTGCCCTAATACTCCTGGTCATGTTTTACCTGGCAGCTGGGACCCTACTGCAATGCTCCTACTATTTAACTGAATGTAATTTGTGTTTATTGGGGGGAAAAAAGAAAAAGAAAAGAAAAAGAAAAAAAGGGGGGGGGGAGACAAAAAAGAAAAATATGGGGGGGGGAGGTTTAACCGTCCACTGAACAGAGGGAGGACACACAACATCATTAAAAAGTAATAATCATTACAGCATAAAAACAACTTTAGAAACACATGTCAGGAGGGCTTAAATTTCTCCCCAGGACCTCATTCTCACCTCTACCGGAGGTGAATATCCACCTCACTGTTACAAGAAAACGGAAGAGAGGAGACAGAGCGGCAGAAGAACAGATCGCAGCAGTATGAAATAAAAGGGAGGTGGTGGGGCAGGGCTTGTGTTTTCTTGTTGATTTCTATTTTTTTGTCTTCTGTTTGTTTTCCGTGTATGGTAGGCACCAGTACAGGCACTGCATGCGACGGAAGTTAGGGCCAAAGGGAGAGGAGAGGGGTAAAGGATTCAAGATTGGGGCAGTACAAGTGGAACAGGCGTTATTTCTGTCCACTAATGGATTGCGATATAGACCGGGGAGGGATCATGTCTAAAAGGTATTCCCGCTGTCGGTCTGCCAAACTGGGGGCTTTGTGTCCTCCGATGCCAGTGTTCAAGTATGCAATGTTGACACCTAAACCCAGGAGACAAAAGTGGGGAACAGATATTAAAAAGGAAATGATGCCTTCTTCTGCTACTTAAGGTTGCAAAGCTGGAGATGGGGAGAAAACATTAGAAGCTGCCTACTTCTGTCCAGGCTCAGTTAACTTTATTTTTGTAGCAACTACCCTTTGCTCTAAGTTTTAGGGAACGAGGTCTTCCTGAAACTTCAATCCTTCAAGAAGAATAAACGTGATGTCTTAATGATATAGGCAAGTAAAAAAAAAAAACCTGTGGTGAGAAGAAAATAACCAAGACAAAGAGATGAAATCATTGAATCTGCTTTGGTTTTGGGGTTGCTGACCATGGAAAGGTAACCTGGATCAAATGGGATTAGAACAGTTGGTTCTGCTGTTCTGGCCAAAAGAGATGAGTAACCACATGCCCACCAAGTAGGCAATTTAGACATTAAATTTCTAATGGAAGGAACTTTGTCAGTTTCACCACCAAAACTGTTGGACACTATGCTTACCATGTAATATAAATTTAGCAAACATTTGCCATATAAGACATACAGATCAATGGAACAGAACAGAGACCCCAGAATTTGGCACAAGCCATTATGCTCCATTAATATTTGACAGAGGAGGCAAGAGCATACAATAGTGTCAAGACAGTCTCCAATAAATAGTGTTGGGAAAATTGAAAAGATACATGCAAAAAAATGAAACTAGACCACCAACTTAACCAATATACAAGAATTAATTAAAAATGGGTAAAGGACTTAAATGTAAATTGTGAGACCATAAAAATCCTAGAAGAAACCATAGGCAGCAAAATTTCAGACATCTCCATAGCAACATGTTTATGGATACATCTTCTAAGGCAAAGGAAACTAAGGAGAAAATAAAAAAATGGAACCACAGCAAAAGGAACCATCAACAAAATGAAAAGAGAGCCCACTGTATGGGAGAACATATTTGGCAATGATATATCTGATAAAGGGTTAATATCCAAAATACATAAGGAACTAATACAATTTAAAAGGAAGAGAAACAATCTAATTAAAAAATAGGCAAAGGACCTAAAAAGACACTTCTCCAAAGTGAACATACAGATGACCAAGACACATATGAAAAATGCTCAAAGTCATCACTGATCATCAGAGATGCAAATTAAAACAATAAAATATCATCTCACACCTGTCAGAATGGCTACTATCAACAAAAGACAAGTGCTGGGGAGGATGTGGAGAAAAGAGAACCCTAGTAGTACACTGCTGATGGGACGCAGACTGGTGTAGCCATTATGGAAAACAGTATGGCGTTCTCTCAAAAATTTAACCCTTTGCACTCCGAACCATTCTGGACATTGGCTACCAGCTACTCGACGCCACTTTGCGGCGGACACGTGCGTTGAAATAACTCAATTCCCCGTAATCACTAATAAACTGCAATGTCCCCTGAGAGGGGACAGCGGAGTGCAAAGAGTTAAATATGGAACTGCCATTTGACCTAGTGATCCCACTTCTAGACATATATCCTAAGAAACCCAAAACACCAATCAGAAAGAATTATGCATCCCTATGTTCATAGCGGCACACTTTACAATAGTTAAGATCTGGCAACAGTCCAAGTATCCATCAGTAGACGAGTAGATAAAAAAAGCTGTGGTACAGTGGAATACTATGCAGCAGTAAAAAAAAAACAAACAAAAAAAAAACGAATCTCTTACCCTTTAAGACAGCATGGAGGGACCTGGGGAGTATCACACTAAGTGAAATAAGTCAGTCAGAGGAAGACAAGTACAAGATAAACTGAAGAACAGAGTGAATCCAGAGGCATGGAAGCATGGAACAGAAGCAAAACCTCTGAGCAAAGGCTGGGGAGAGTCAGTGGGCTGGAGGTAATCAACCGAAGACCTTGTATGCATGTATGCACAACCCAATGGACATAGACAATAGGGTGGTGAAGGCCTAGGGTACGGAGGTAAGGGCGGGTGGAGGGGGTCAATGGGAAAAAAAAGGGAAGCATTGGGGAGCATATGTAATGCTTTCATTAATAAATATTTTTAAAAATTTGCCATATAAAAAAGAGGGAAGAAGGAACAATTTACTTAAAGGTGCTGCTATAGAATTGGGTACTAACCCACCCCTGAGAAAAGTTCTCAGATCAACTCTTCTTACCTGGCATCCCAAGGAGACCCCCTGGCACAGATAGCTGGGGTGCCTGTGCGAAGTTGGAAAGCATGGAACGGGCAGATGTGGGTATGCCACGCTGGAGGCTGCTTTGGGGCTGTGGAGCCTGCAACGATGAGGAGACAGTTCATCACAACTCTTTCATAGGGAAAGTTTAAGCGGGGGAGTAAGAACATGAGAGTGCAGGATTATGACTTCCCGAAGAAGGAAAAACCAGTTGGGATAAAGAGCTGACAAACCCTGAGATAATTCCTCACCTGCCGAAGTGTATGATGTCTCATTATGGTCTCTTGTTTACTGACACTGGACACAGCTGGAGCCGTAGTGGGGGAGAGGGCTGCCTGCTGCTGTAATCGCTGTTCAATTTCCTGTTGGGAGTCATCAGGTCAAATTGGGCAGGACAGCACCCAATTTCCTAACCAGAAAACCTAGAGGTCTTATTTCTATTGCTGCCAGCTAGTTGAAGGGATATAAAAAAGGCCAGAGTTTGGTGGGGTACGATGCTGGGGCACAATGCACTAAGATATTAGGGTACAAGTAGCCAGCATGTTTCACTGACTAAGGGGCCCCTCCCTCCTGGAAAGTTGGCTTTCAGAAGCTGGCTGGGTAGTGGTGATGAGCTGACCTATTAATTAGCTGACCTAAGGTTGATGAGTTACTGGGATTTTATTTTTTGATTCCTAACATTTTCCAGAGGTTCTGGAAAGGGTCTGATGGGGAAAAGAATATGAGTGAGTTTCCCAACACATACTCCCCTCTTCAAGATAGAGTCATTTTACTGATTCTTTAGGTGGTATTCACACTCTAGCCCCACTAGTCTTCGCTGGGCTAGTTTATATCTATTCTTTCCATTGTCATTTCTTCGTCAAATATGGACTGCAGATAATTACTTCTCTCAAAGAGATTTCCAAATACAAACCCCTCCCATTAAAATCCATTTGTGTGAGGAGGAAACAAAGTTGAGAAGAAATTTCTTAAGTGCTATTAGGGAAAGGCAAGTCTCAAGTCATTATATATCACTCACTGTGCTCTTATCTAATCAGAAATAATCAAATGGAAGTGGGAAAAAGAATGGTTAAGTAGGAAAAAGGGGAACCAAAGCCTCCAGGTTTTAGGAACTTCAATCCAGAAACCTAGACCACCAGGACTGTGAGGATCACATAGATAGCTTCTCTAATTTAGAAGTAATTATCTTTAGGGACAACCCAACCTAGACAAGTTGCTGGTGAGAAGTCATAATTCTCACCTGTTCCTGCTGTAGGGCTTTAACAAAAGCGTTCTTCAGCCGGTTGGTGTGTTCAGCTTTTAGAGCTTTCTTCTGGTTGGAGGTCATACATTGCTCACACAGAATCTTACCATTCTTCTCTTGCTTCCAGTGAGGGGTGAAATCTGTGCGGCACTGGGCACAAACAAAGGGTTCGACCCGCAGAAGTGAGGCACAGCTTTTGCCTAGATGCCAACAAGAATAATAATCAGTGGTTTCACATTTCCTATCTTGTTTCTCTTCATCAAAGGAATCTTTTTCCAGGAGTTTACTTTCCTGAATTAAGAAAGAGACTCTACAAAAATAATACTCTACAAAATACTTTATTTCCTTTGATTGTAACAGCATAACTTCAGTGAATTCAGATAGATTTCGTTTGCTCCTTTGTAAATGGGAATGGTACTAAGAAACATAGTTCCTAAATAACAAAACTGGCATAAGAACCCGTCTTCTGATTTCTTATTACCATTTTAAAAAGTGCCAATTTAGATTCAAAGGACTCCAGCTAACTCAGCCAACACTTTTGCTTCTTAGCATCACTTTACCTCAGATTGCATTTATCCTTGTCACGTGTTTATAACTTTTAGTTATTAGTGTCTAAATGACTCACTTTATGATCTATTTCTAGCCAATATTGAGCCCTTCTGACACTTTACTGTCAGGTATTCCCCTAAACTTGTATGTTTAGAAATTCAGGCTTAATTACTTCATGACAGGGACTGAATATAATAATGTAGCACAATGCCCATAATCACTGATATTAAAAATAAGTGTTGTAGCCTGGCCAACTTGGCTCTGTGGTTGAGCGTGGACCATGAGCCAGGAGGTCACAGTTTGATTCTAGGTCATGGCACACGCCTGATTGCAGGCTCAATCCCCAGTGAGGGGACGTGCAGGAAGCAGCTGATCAATGATTTTCTCTCATTATTGATGTTTCTATCTCTTTCTCCCTTCTTCTCTGAAATCAATTAAAAAAAAAAAAAAAAAAGTACAACTCAACAACAAAAAACAATTTAACTTAAAAAATAAGTGTTCTAGCTGGGACCGGTTTGGCTCAATGGATGGAGCGTCGGCTTGGGGACTGAAGGGTCCTGGGTTCGATTCTGGTCAAGGGCATGTGCCTTGGTTGCGGGCATATCCCCAGTAGGGGGTGTGCAAGAGGCAGCTGATCGATGACTCTCTCTCATCGATGTTTCTGACTCTCTGTCTCTCTCCCTTCCTCTCTGAACAAAATCAATAAAATATATATATTTTTTAAAAATTTAAAAAAAGTGTTCTAGACATCGAATTATGCTAGGCACCATTTAAAAACAATACACTGCAAAAATATACAAGAGACACAAATTACACTATAGTAAGAAGAGGTTATTTGATATCACACAATATCCTGATACTCTGCTTATGTCAACCAAGCTTGGCAACCTCTTGCTTAGATAAAAAGACTGATTAGAGAGAAAAAAAAGTCTTACCTTGACTGTCGATAACACTTTGTACGACTTCTTCCAAGCCTACCATGTAGATGAACTCGCTGTTAGCTGCACTAGGCAGAAAATGAAGCAAGGGAGCAGGAGGTTTAGGAGGTGGAATCTCCAGGAGTGTCTTTTCCAGCTGTTTGCGAAGAGCCAATTTGGCTGCAGCCTGTGAGTTGGCAGCATCGGTCATGGTGCTGGGGCTGGGAAGTGGTGAGGACACTCTGTTCACGGTCCCTGGCTGGATATGGGAGGCAAGATTCATATAGATGGCCGAGGATGTTGTGCGCTGACAGGGAACAGAAGAACTTGACTGCTGGAATAGATTTAGTATAGGTTCAGTGATGATATATGGGAGAAAGGACCAATTCTTGTTTTTGTGGCAGAGAACATTATTTGATCTTAGTTTAGACTACCTAGCTTCCCCCAACTAAGAAAAAGACAGGAGGTGTCTAATTTCTTCATTGAAAAGAAACTACAGGACATAGGAAAGAAAAATGATAGTGACTGAGCTAGAACTGCTAAGGGAAAAATAAAAATATTCCCTAGAGACTTTTTTTCTAGATAATTTTAATTTATTATGCTCTACTGTATAATCTCTTTTCTCCACCTCTACTTTCATATAATTCCCTCAATGCTTCCACTTTTTGGGATAGTTGTCCAAGTCCCATAAAAATTATCCTTGTTGTCTTAGTTTCTCTCAGTCCAAAAATGTAAAACCTACAGTTCTTTCAACAGGGAAAGCAAATAAAAGATTTCTGTGTAACCACATAGGGCTCTCTCTTACCGGTTGGTAATTGATGGCAGGATTTATATTGGGTGTTGTGGTGCGTACAAGGCCAGGCTTAGGCGGGCCGCGCTGACCCTGTAGCTGGGCTGGGTTTGGTGCAATAACACGCTGAGACATCAACATGTGTGGGAGGGTGGTATTGGTTGCTGAACGGATGACACTATGACCCTGAAAGGGAAGAAGAGGAAAAGAACTAGTCATAGGTGATAAAATGCTCCACAAAATGTTAACGGGAAGACATTGTTTATAATACATAGCTAAGTAGAAATATAGAATAAGTCTACTATCACTGTAAACCCTTATTAGTCACTAGAAATTCCCTGGCCTTTTTTTAAATTTTTTATTTTATTTTTATAAGCTACCTAACCCTACAAACTAAAAACCTTCTCTAGAGAAGAAAAACTAGAGTGGAAAGATGAGGGTTATTCATCCTACTGTAGATTAAATCAGGCCATAAAGGACCAACAGGATTGCCTGAAGTAATTCCACCTGTTTCATGGCCCTCTGACAGTAAGATCCCACTATGGGTCACATACCTGTAATGTTCTTAAATTCTGAGGTTCAACCCCCTGGGCCCCAGGCCGGGAGGGAAGCTTGGAAAGGCCCTGCTGACCAACATGAGCAGGAGATGGCTGAACAATAGATGCTGCATTCTGTACAATTGGAGTCTGGGAAAGAGAATAGAAAATGAGACAGTTATAAAAGGCTAAAGAGGTATAAATTTGGTACACTTCTATACTGCCCCGTCCCCCAATTTTTATTGATTTCAGAGAGAAAGGGAGAGGGAGAGAGATCTAGAAACATCAATGATGAGAATCAGCAATCAGCTGATTCCTGCACACCCCCTACTGAGGATCCAGCCCACAACCCAGGCATGTGCCTTGACTGGGAATTGAATCGTGACTTCCTGGTTCATAGATCAATGCTCAACAAATTGAGCCACAGTGGCAAGGTGGTACACTTCTACACTTTATTATTATCTAATATATTTTATTGATATTTTACAGAGAGGAAGAGAGAGGGATAGGGAGTTAGAAACATCAATGAGAAAGAGTCATAGATCAGCTGCCTCTTGCATACCTCCCACTGGGGATGTGCCTGCAACCCAGGTACATGCCCTTGACCGGAATCAAACCCGGGACCTTTCAGTCCGCAGGCCGACGCTCTATCCACTGAGCCAAACCGGTTTCGGCCACTTCTACACTTAAACTATTGTCAGTGTGAAGCTCCCACTGACCAGGAGGGAAAATGAAGGGGGTGGGGGGAACAAGATTTTGTTGATAAACGAATGCTTAACATAAAAAAAATCTACCTGGGGCAGCCCATTCTCAATCCAGTTTTCCCCCCCAATCCCTTATTTCTAGGGCACATTACCTTTTGAACCACGTTCTCTTTCTGTAGCTGACTCTGTCTCAGTTTCTTTAACAGCACTAGTCGAGCTTCTTCCAATCGCAGCTCATCCCTCAGTTGCTTGATGAGCTGCTGCCGTTCCTCAATGCCTTTCCCCTAAGGAAACATGGAGACTATCATCTATGGTAGCAGGTGCCCAGAGTCCCTTCCTGCAAGATGATCCCTTCTTTTAGGTCTGAAACCTTCATCTTCCACAAGAAGCAAAAGTGGTGATGGGATTATCTTTGTGTTCTTGGGTCTGGCGAGCACAGGGGTGGTGTCAGGAGCCTCTCCCGCCTCTGCTGCAGGCTGGAGGTGAGGAGTAGGCTGGCAGTAAGGAGCGAGGGGTCCCAGACTGCAAGAGGGATGTCTGACTGCCAGCTTACCTGATCCCTCGCCCCCCGCCCTCCACAGGCGGACATCCCCTGAGGAGTACTGACTGTAAGAGGGTGAAGGCCAGGCTGAGGGACCTCACCCCCCCATCCCCAGTACACGAATCTCATGCACCAGGCCTCTAGTCATTTATAAAGCATCATCAATGGTAGTTATTTTGACCTAACAAGTAACTATAAAAATAGCAGAACTGGGATACTTACAAAATTAAAGAGAATAGAAGAAGAAAAACATTTCTGTCATTTAAAAAAATTTTTTTTTTTACCTTAAACATCTCTAGGTTGGCTGCTTTGAGTCTTTCTTCCATTCGGGAGCTGGAACGGGGACTGGAAGCCTCATTATCAGATAAAACGATGATGTCTGGGGAGGGAGTTAGCCTTCCTCGGTCTGGCTCACTAAGACAGAAAGAAAAAAAAAAATTAAGGTATGTCCAACAGTGAAAGCTCACAGAAAAGTTTTTGAAACTTCAAGGGAACTTAGGTCTGTCCCAATTTACACAGGGGAAGACAGAGAACTCAAATTGTAGGATAAAGAAGACACTAGAATGTAAGTGATGATGAAACCTGAACGAAAGTACTTTTCCTTTCTAAATTCCTTACAAAGGATGCAGAGACAAAGACACAGATTTCAGAAATGGAAATAAGAGTGTTCTCATCACACTGAGTAAATTAAAATTCTAAATGTTCTCCCTATACCTCTCTCTCCTCTGGGTTGTTTCATTAGTAGGAGCAAGAAGAAAATGGCTGGTTTGACAGGTGAAGAAGGGTTTAAGGCAGGAAAGCCTAGATGCCCACACCAGGTACAGCTAATATGTTGCTAAGGAGATAGCTCATTATACCAATAACATGGTCCTGGCTATCTGAGGATCTATAAGAAAGGAGGTTATATCACAACTCCATGATAATCTTATCCTGTCAAGAGTTAAGGCAAAAGAAGGTACTGTTCTCATTGGCTTGAGGGAATGGACAATGCCAAATACGTCTATGGCCTTCTGGAGGACTGACACTACAGATGTAAATATATATGGAATTTGCATCTATTTGCCAGAGTTCTGCTTAGTATCTTTCTTCAGAAAGAAACTATCTAGAAATAAATTTGAAATCTAAGTGTTCCACACTGGTTCTCCAGGAGCTTATTTATTATATATATATTTTTCAATATATACTTTGATTTTTTACAGAGAGGAAGAGAGAGAGTCAGAAACATCGATGAGAGAGAAACATCAGCTGCCTCCTGCACTCCTTCTACTGGGGATGTGTCTGCAACCAAGGTACATGCCCTTGACTAGAATTGAACGTTTCAGTATGCAGGCCAATGCTCTATCCACTGAGCCAAACTGGTTAGGGCTCCTGGAGCTTATTTATTAAACAAAACTCTAGTTTTGATCTTTATGGGGCTAGCCTTGAAAGAATCTACTTGTGTCTGGCCAGCATAGCTCAGTAGTTGAGCATCAACCTAAGAACTAAAAGGTCACAGCTCAATTCCTGGTCAGGGCACATGCCCAGGCTTTGGACTCCATCCCCAGTGGGGGGCATGCTGGAGGCAGCTGATCAATGATTCTCTATTCATTGATGTTTCTATCTCTTCCTCCCTCTCCTTTAAAATCAATTATATATATTTTTTTTATTTTTTTTATTTTTTTAAAAAGAATCCTACTTATTTCTCTAAGATGATGAAGAATGGCATTTCCCACTTATTCCTTAAGACCCTGAGCTCTTCACTGTAGTTTGAAGTACATAAATCTAAGCAATATGTTCTTACGTCTTATTTAAACATTAACTCAAACTCTTAATACACACAGATCAATCGAGGTTTCTCCCTTCCACTCTTTAAATAAATAAAAACACATTGGGGGGAAGACTTTTTTAAAAATAATTTTTGAAAATGTTTTTGTTTACTTATTGGTTTTTAGAGAGAGAAGAGTGGGAGAGAGAAAAATGGATCCTGAATGTGCCCCAATTAGAGATATAACCAGCAACCTAGATATGTCCCTGAATGGGAATTGAATCTCAGACCCTTTGGTCCATGGGAAGACACTCCAATTGAGCCACACCGGCCGGGGCGGGGCGGGGTAGGGGGGGGGGGGATTATATGTAAAACACCCTCCTCTCGCTGGAATTCATTCTATTTTCATAGGCTTAATTTATGAGAAAACCCTATACCTAGAGACAGCTGAACCAAGCCATACCTCCGTCTAGCACTCATATCCACAGGCTCATCATTGATATTTTCTTTGCCTGGCCTTCCAGCAATCCTATTGTCTCCATGAGGCCTGAGATTCCCATTGAGTTTCTCTTCATAGCCCTTGACACCACTGCCATCCTGTTTGGTGGGTAACTCATGAGACACCTCAAGATTTGCCAAATCCTTCCGTTTGAGCAATGCCAACATTTTCAGACGTTCCATGGCTTCATGCCCCTCCATTTTGAGTCGCTTGGCCAGGACATCATCTCGTTCATCTGCTGGGTCCAAGCTCCGTTTCAATAAATTCAGGCGAAGAGCATCTTCTGTCATTCTATCCATCCTGTGGAAAGAAAAATACAAGTGAGATCAGAATAAAATCCCATAAATAGTCCATAAGGAAAGAAGGTGGGGTGGTAAAGGTATTAAGAATCATCATAAACACATAAATGGAGGCTTAAAGTTAACTCAGCTAACCTGTCCTATATCTTCCTAGAAACTAAAGAAACCACAAATACTCTCCAGTCAATTAGGTCCTTACTATAGAGATATCTGAAACCAAACACTACATTCATCTGGATAGTCTATTAAGAGCCTATGTCTCTCAAAAAAGACACATTCCTTTGTGTCAGATCATTTAACTCATACCAAATTTGCCTACTGGAAAACTCTTATGGGAAGTTCTTCAGGTCACATATGCATTATCTTGAATTGGGTCTACCTTATAAAGGGAGAAATATGAAAAAGATGAATTAGACAAAGATCATCTATCAGGAAGCTGCAGATGTCTCAATATAGCAAGATCAGAGGTGCCTGCTGTTATTTGCACTTAATGCTATAGATACAGATTCAAAATCTTTTTTATTTATTTATTTATATTTTATTGATTTTATACAGAGAGGAAGGGAGAGAGACAGAGAGTTTGAAACATCGATGAGAGAGAGTCATCGACCAGCTGCCTCCTGCACACCCCCCACAGGGGATATGCCCGCAGCCAAGGTACATGCCCTTGACCGGAATCGAACCCGGGACCCTTCAGTCCCCAAGCCGATGCTCTATCCACTGAGCCAAACCGGTCCGGGCTCAAAATCTTTTAAAAAATATATATTTTATTGATTTTTCACAGAGAGGAAGCGAGAGGGATAGAAAGCTAGAAACATCGACCAGCTGCCTCCTGCACAACCCCTACTGGGGATGTACCCACAACCAATGTACATGCCCTTGACTGGAATCGAGCCTGGGACCTTTCAGTCCGCAGACCGACGCTCTACCACTGAGCCAAACTGGTTTTGACCAGATTCAAAATCTTAAAATACTTGGCTCTGCTTAATGAAAGACTGTAAGTCCCAACTTTATGTACTCACAGCCATGCCTGCCTCAAAATCCAAAGAAGCAGGAATAAAACTTGGAAACATTATGCTAAGTAAAGAACATAGGACAAATATTTTATGGCTCCACTTATTTGAGGTACCTAGAATAGGCAAATTCACAGAAACAAAAAATAGAACAGAGGCTTGAGTTGGAGAGAAGGGGAGTGAGCAGTTATTATTTGTGGAAACAGAGTCTCAGTCTAGGATGACGAAAAAGTTCTTAAAATAGATAATAGTTAAAGGAGATAAAAGACTTGTTCTTGGAAAACTACAGGACATTGAAAAAAGAGATAGAGAAAGACAGAAACAAGTGTTCATGGATTGGTAAAATTAACATAATTAAAATATCCATACTACTCAAGGCAATCTACAGATTCTAATGCAATTCCTATTAAAATACCAACAGCAAGCATGGAACAGTGTGTGGAACCTCAGAGGGAAGGTGGGAGAGAGTGGGTGTGTGGGAGGAAATCAACCAAAGACCTTGTATACATATATGGTATGCATAACCCATGGGCACAGACAATAAGAAGCTGAAGACCTAGAGTGGGGGTTTGGGGCAGGGGCAGGGCAGGCTAAAGGGATCAATAGGGGGGGGGGGGGGGGAAAGACATATGTAATACTTTCAACAATAAAGATTTATAAAAAAAAAAGAAAAGAAAGAAAGAAATGTAGAAAGTCCACCACACCATACACAATAAATTCAAAATGGATAAAGGACTTAAATGTAAATTGTGAAATCATAAAAATCCCAGAAGAAACCATAGGCAGCAAAATTTCAGACATCTCCATAGCAATATGTTTATGGATACATCTTCTAGGGCAAAGAAAATAAGAAGAAAATTAAAAATTGGAACAATGTCAAAAGAAAAAGCTTCTGCACAACAAAAGAAACCATCAACAAAATGAAAAGGGAGCCCACTGTATGGGAGAATGTATTTGGCAATGATTTATTTGATAAAGGATTAATATCCAAAACACATAAGGAAACAATACAACTTAACAAAAGAATTTTTTAACATGAAAAAAAAGCTCAAAGTCACTGATCATCAGAGAGATGCAATTGAAACAATGAAATATCATCTCACACCTATCAGAATGGTAACATCAATCCTTTATAATAAAGAGCTAATATATTAATTAGACCAGTGACCTTCAGGATGAAGCCGAGGCTGTGAGGGCCGAGCCCCTTGCACAGATTTTGTGCATCGGACCTGTAGCATATAATAAAAGGCTAATACGCAAATTGTCCCCACAGGCAGGAGTTCAAACCACCAGGAGTTAGACCTGTGCTGACCACCATGAGATGGCGTGGAACGTGTGGGCGTGGGCAATGCGGTGCTGGCAGCGAGCGGCAGTGGAGGTGCTGCCAGCCCTGATGGGCCCTGACGAGAGCGGGACCTCAGCAAGATGGTGGAGCAGGTGAGCGGGCGGCACCAGGCCACCACAGGTGTGAAGGGAGGCCCCGGCCAGCAGCCGCTAGGGATCCTACCTATGCACAAGTACTGTGCACTGGCCTCTAGTAAATCAGTAAGTGACAAGTGCTATAAGAATGTGGAAAAAAGGGAACCTTAGCCTAGTACACTGCTGGTGGGAATGCAGACTGATGCAGCAATTATGGAAAACAGTATGGAGTTTTCTCAAAATATTAAATATGGGACTGCCATTTGACCCAGTAATCCCACTTTTAGGAATATATCCCAAGAAACCCGACACCAATCATAAAGAATGAATGCACCCCTACATTCATAGCAGCACAGTTTTCAATAGCTAAGATCTGGAAATAATCCAAGTGTCCATTAGCAGATGAGTGGGTTAAAAGACCTATGATACATTTACACCATGGAATACTATGCAGCAGTAAAAAAGGATCCCTTACTCTTTAAGACAGCATAGAAAGACCTGGAGAGTACTATGCTAAGCAAAATAAGCCAGTCAGAAAAAGACAAGTATCACATGATCACACTCATATGTGGAATGTGATGAACAAAATAGATCCAGAAACATGAAAGCATGGAATGGACTGTGGACACAGTAGGAGCCATGCAAGAGGCAATCGATGGATGTTTCACTTTCACATCAGTATTTCTCTCTCTCTCTCTCAAAACCAATTTTAAAATCTTAAAAAAATATATATTGCCGAAACCGGTTTGGCTCAGTGGATAGAGTGTCATCTGCAGACTGAAGGGTCCCAGGTTCGGTTCCGGTCAGGGGCATGTACATTGGTTTCCAGCACGTCCCTGCTGGGGGGTGTGCGGGAGGAGGCTGACTGATGTGTCTCTCTCATCAATGTTTCTGGCTCTCTATCCTTCTCCCTTCCTCTCTGTAAAAAATCAATAAAAATATACTTTAAAAAAAATATATATATATATATTAATTGGAATTATATACAGTATTTAACTTTGGGATTTTTTTCACGCATCATAATTTTCTTGAGATTCAACCAAATTGTTGCTTGTATTGATAATTTGATCCTTTTTATTGCTGAATAATCATCCCATGGTGTGGATGTACCACAATTACCTGTTGAAGGACAACTGAATTTTTTTCTAGTTTTTTTGCTATAACAAAGCTACTACATTCATATACAAGTTTTTGGAGGAACATACGTCTTCATTTATCTGGGATAAATGCCCAATAGTATGACTGCTGAGTCACATAGCAAATGAATGTTTAGTTTTATAAGAAACTGCCAATCTGCTCCCCAGAGCAGTTATATCATCATATATTTCCAATTTCTTCATATCCTCACTAGCATTTTGGTGCTATCATTATTGTTTTTTATTTTGTTTTTAATCGTCACCCAAGGAGTGAGGATAGCTTTTCCATAGATTTTTTTTAGAGAGTAGAAGGGCAGAGGAAGAGAGAAACATTGATGTGAGAGAGACATATTAATTAGCTGCCTCCCACACACACCTGGTCCTGCAACCCAGATACGTGCTTTTGAACAAGAAATGGACCCATAACCCTCCAGTGCACAGGCTGACACACTACCACTCAACCACACTGGCTAGGGCTGACATTTTTTATTTAAGCCATTCTGATAGGTGTGTTGTGGTATTTCACTGTGGTTTTAATTTGCATTTCCCTAGTGGCTAATGATGTTGAATATCCTTTTTTATGTGTTTATTGCCATCTGTAAATCTTCCTTTGTGAAACTTGTCTTTTGCCTATTTTCTAATTGAACTGTTTGTTTGTTTTTTACTTACTGTAGAGTTTTGAGAGTTCTTTACGTATTTTAGACATTAGTCATTTGTCATACATGTGGCTTCCTAATTTATTTTCAGTGAAATTAAACATTACAGATACAGTTGAAGCACCCGTGTAACTTTACCCCCAAACTATTCTTTACTCTCTCTCCTCCCTCTCTTCCCAAAATTCATTATGATGAATTTATTATCATTCTCATATTTTTTAAATCCTCACCCAAGGATATTTTTTCATTGATTTTAGAAAGAGTGGAAGAGAGAGGGAAAGACAGAAATATCGATGTAAGAGAAACATACTAACTGGTTACCTCCTGCATGAGCCCTAACCAGGGCCCGGGCCAGGGAGGAGCCTGCAACCGAGGTACGTGCCCTTGACTGGAATTGAACCCAGGACCCTTTGGTCTGTAGGCCAATGCTCTATCCACTGAGCCAAACCAGATAGGGCTCTCATCAATATTTTATAATGTTTATTTCGTATGTATGTATCCATAGTATAGTTTGTATACATTTATTTATTTTATTTTATTTTTTTTAGGCATATGAAAATTTATTACTGTGATTTCACCATCAAAACTTAGGATCTTGGTCTTTCCTTCTTGCCTTTGTACAAGGCCAAGAGAGACACATTGGCTACTTTGACAACCTTAAAGCGAACTCCAGGAATGTCACCAACAGCATGACCTTTGCGACCAAATCCAGCAACCAGAACTTCGTCATTTTCCTCAATGAAATTCAAACAACCATCATTGGGTACAAAGGCTGTGATTTTTTTGCCGTTTTTGATCAGCTGGACTCTGACACACTTCCTGATAGCGGAATTTGGCTGTTTGGCTTCAACCCCTACTTTTTCCAGCACGATCCCCTTTGCATGGGAGGCGCCACCGAAAGGGTTGGCCTTCAGGGCCGTGCCCAAATGGGCCTTCTTGTACTGCTTGTCATGCCACTTCTGATCCCGCCCGTGGCTGCGGAGCTTCCGGGCAGTTCGGAGACCGCGACACTTGCCCATCCTGCCGGCGCCACGGGCCTGAGCGAAAGAGCTGTATACATTTATTAATTGTATTTTTTAAAGTAGCACTTGGCCTAGCCGATGTCACTCAATGGTCAAGTGTGGACCTATGAACCAGGAGGTCACAGTTCAATTCCTGGTCAGGGCACATGCCCAGGGTTGTGGGCTCGATCCCCAGTAGGGGCGTGCAGGAGGCAATCAATCAATGATTCTCACTGATCTTTCTATCTCTCCCTCTCCCTTCCTCTCTGAAATAAATTTAAAAATATACTTTAAAAAGCAAAATTAAGTAACATATACTAGAGCTGCTTTTTAAAAATATATATTATTTTATTGATTTATGAGAGGAAGGGAACGGGAGAAAGAGATAGAAATATCAATGAAAAGAGAGAATCATTGATTAGCAGCCTCCTGCACACCCGACACTGGAGATCCAGCTCTGTAACCTGGGCATGCGTCCTGACCAGGAATTGAACAGTGGCCTCCTGCTTCACAGGTCGACACTCAACCACTGAGCCATGCCAGCTGGGCTCATTTTGCTTTTCAATGTTAAGTTTTTATAGTATTTAAAATTTACCTAAATAAATGAGGCCCTAGTAAAATCCTCACCTGAGGACATGCTTAGAGAGAAAAAAACATGGATGTGAGAAACATCAATCAATTGCCTTCCGTGAGCACCCTGACTGGGGATCAAACCCGCAACCCAGGTACGTACCCTAACCAGGAGTCAAACAGGCCACCTTTTGGTGCATGGGATGACACTCAACCAACCAAGCCACCTGGCCAGGCTAATTAATTTGTTTTAACGGCTGTGTAGGATTCCACAGCAAAAACAAAAAAACAAAACAACAAAAAAACAATTTAATAATCCATTCTCCAGTTCAACACTTTTTAGGTATCAATTTGTAGATGTTAAAAGCAATGCTGCTATTTCTACTTCTGGCCAAGATGTTGTGACACAGGTTGGATTTACCTTCCCACCTGAAGCAGTAATAAAACCAGACAAAATACATGAAACAAGGGTCTCAAGACACTGGACACTAAGCACAAAGGACAATGATCCCAGAGGAATAAGAGACAATGGGATGAGCTCCACAACTGCCCTAACTTATTGCCTTAGAAGAGTTTCTAGGACATAGTGTGGGGGAAGTGAGAGGGAGCCAGGCAGACTCCTGAGTTAAAGAGATGGATGAGGGTACAGTGCGATAAAGGCAGCTATGCTTCAAAAAGGACAGAGTACCATAGAAGTGAGAATACAGAAAGGTGGATATAATTTAAAATGACAGATAATAAGTGTTAAAGGCGCATGTAGAGAAATTGGAATCTTCATACACTGCTGATGGGAATGGAAAAGAGCTGGAAGTTACTCATGAGGTTAAACACAGTTAAAACACAACCCAGCAGTTCCACTGCTAGACATTATATATACCCAAGAGAACTGAAAACATCATCTCCACACAAAAATTTGTACACAATGTTCATAGCAGCATTATTGATTATAGCTAAAAAGTGGAAACCACCCAAATGTTTACCAACTGATAATTAAACAAATGTACATCTATAAAATGAAATACTGTACAGCTATAAAAAGGAATTTAGTGCCCTGGCCAGGTAGCTCAGTTGGTTGGAATGTCGTCCCAATACACCAACATTGTGGTTTTGATGGTCAGGGCACATGCAGGAGTCAACCAATAAATGCATGAATGGGTGTAACAATAAAAACTGATGTCTCTCTCTCTCCCTCTACATTCTTCTCTCTCAGAAAATCAATAATAATAAAAAGGAATGAAGTACTGATATGATACAACATAGATGAAACTTGAAAACATTAAGCTAAGCGAAGCAAGCCAGTCATAAAAGTTAATATATTGTATGATTCCATTTATATGAAAAGTCCAGAAAAGGCTTGGAGTAGAATGGAAACAAAGTAGATAAGTGGTTTCCTAGGGTTAAGGAGAGAGGAATACGGAGTAACTGCTAACAGGCAGGGGGTTTCTTTTTAGGGTGATGAAAATGTTCTAATTTTAGATTATGGTGATAGTTGCACAATTTTGAATATACTAAAACCATTGAATTGTATACTTTAAATGGGTAAATTTAGGATATGTGAAATATGTTTCAATAAAGATGTTAAAGCACTGGCAGGGGTGACTTAGTTGGCTGATAAGTATTTCATTTAATTCTCAAGAACATTCCTATGAAGTCCACATTATCCCCATCCTTTCAGAAAGAAATAACTAAGACTCAGAAAAAAATAAACCTACTCAAGGTCACAAAATAAATAGGAGAGTCATGATTAAAACCTAGGTCTAATTCCAATGCCCAGGACACCCCCCTTTCCACCACACCAAGGATGGTTAAGTAGGTTTCAACTCTCATACCAACTTCATTTTATTGATGGTCACCTATAACATTCTGTTTTATCAGGAAACACTTTTACTCAATTATTGTCAACCATAGGTTCCACATATGAAAACAGCAGCACACATATAAACCAAGTATTTACCATATCCATCTATAATAGTAAAAGTATAATATGCTAATTAGATTAGACATCTTTCCAGAAGCCAGGGGCTGCAACCACAGGATCAAGGCAGCCGCCATGGCTGGTTGTGAGGGAGGCTAAGGCCTACTCTTGAATGAATTTTGTGCACCGGGCCTCTAGTATATTATCATAATCAGACTAATAAATCTGAATTAGGCCTACGCCCTGGGAGGGTAACCATATTTTTGTACTTTGAGGAAACAAGAGCTGGGAAGTGGACATGGCAGTGAAACAGCAATCATCTACAAACCTTAGGAAAATCTCACAAATGTCTTTGGCCTCGTGAAAATTTCTTCCAAATATCCCTCAAGAATGTTCATAGCCCTAGCCAGTTTGGCTCAGTGGATAGAACATCAACCTGTCGACTGAAGAGTCCTGGGTTCAATTTCAGTCAAGGGCATATACCTTGGTTGCAGACTCAATCCTGGCCATGGTGCAGGAGGCAACGAACAGATGTGTCTTTCACATGGATGTGTCAATCTGTCTTTCCTCTTCCCTTCTACCCTCTTAAAAAAAAATGTTCATAGCTCTGTATAGCACTAAATTAGTCATATTAGAGAAGGGAGAATGTTATAAATAGCAGCCTCGCTAGGTATTTATTCCATAGTAGGCCTAATGAAGTTTTTCTAATGCCAATTCATGCATGTGACAATCATACCAATAAATTCTATCTAAGCAGTGCTTCAGAGATGAGTAGCCTCATGCCCTCTACTTATAACTGTGTACAGCTGAATGAATGTCCATTTGTCTCCCACCAAAGTGGAAGCAAGTTACACTTCCAGGTCGTGGCAAAGATCACAGAGCAATGGTCCTGTTCTGTACATCAGATGGCCGAGCAAATGAGATATCTGAGCTCCTTCCAAGCTACCTAGTGCTTCCCACTGCCAATCATTTCCAGCAATTAACTCTGCAACCTATTTCAGTTCCTAAAGAAACTCTCACACACACAAACCAAACTGCAAAACCAATTCTTCAAGTGGGGCTAAAAGCCCCTAAGGGAAAACAAAATGGTTATAGAACAAGTTTTATCTTAAATGCTAAAAGAGTGAAATTATCTCCAAATGTACCATTTTATTGGATCATCTTAGAGGTTGCTTCTACACAGTCCTACAGGTAGCAATCTCTGGAATTCAGCAACTGGTGGAATAGAAAAGGGTATGGATAAGGACTTGATAAGAATATGTATCAATGTGAATACTTAAGCTCTATTAATTTCTCATTAAGAAATTTAGATAACATGGAACAAAAAGAAACCACTCTGATCTCTGCATAAGATAGAAACATGCAGGACATACAGATCCTAAAGTATATGCTTATTATATTACACTAGAGTAGGGGTGTCAAACTCAATCAGAGAAGGGGCCAAAATCTAAAATCCAGCCTAAATCGCGGGCCGAATGGTTTACTGAACAGTCATAAACTGTCATTGTGATGGAAACGCAGCAGAGTGCAGTGATGACAGCGTGGTGCGGGCCACATTGCAAGGCCTGGCGGGACGGATTTGGCCCGCTGGCCTTGTGTTTGACACATGTGCACTAGAGGCCCGGTGCACAGATTTGTGCACCGATGAGGTCCCTCGGCCTGGCCTATGACCTCTCGGCAATCTGGTGTCAGACTGCCGGTTTCAACCCAATCCTTGCAGGCCAGGCCTCTAGTATGCATATAACTGGTTCTCAACCTTTCTAATGCCACAACCCTTTAATACAGTTCCTCATGTTGTGGTGACCCCCAACCATAAAATTATTTTTGTTGCTAATTGTAATTTTGCTATGTAAATATCTGTGTTTTCCGATGGTCTTAGGAGATCCTGCTAGAGGTTCTTCCTGCCCTCCCATCCCTTCCCTCTGAGATTATCAGTCTGTTCCATGTTTCCATGCCTGTGTGTTAAGCATCTGGCCCTTGGTGGTCAGTGTATGTCACAGATACTGGACAAACAATCTCTTAGACTTTTATATATAATAGATTATTTCTGGCAAGATTATGAACCAGAGGTTAGAAATAAGTTTGGCAGACCTGGCTGGTGTGGATCAGTTGGTTTGAGTGTCATCCAATACACCAGAAGGTCGCCGGTTTGATTCCCAATCAGGGCACATGCCCGGGTTGCTGGCAGATTGTTGCTGGCTCAGAAGGCAGCCGATCATTGATGTTTCTCTCTCCCTCTCCCTTCCTCTCGAAAATCAATAAAAACATATTTTTTAAAACAAGAAAAAAGGCCCAGCTGGTGTTGCTCATGGTGGAGTGTTGACCTATGAACCAGGAAGTCACAGTTCAATTCTCGGTCAGGGCACACGCTCAGGTTTCAGGTTTGATCCCAAGTAGGATGTGTGCAGGAAGCAGCTGATCAATGATTCTTTCTTATCATTAATGTTTCTATCTCTCTCTCCCTTCCTCTCTGAAATCAATAAAAATATTTAAAAAAAACAATAATATACTAATGACCAATTAATACATGAAAAGATGCTCAATGACACTAGTCATCAGAGCTACAAATCAAAACCACAATGGCCTGGCTAGAATGGCTCAGTGGTTGAGCATCAACCTATGAACCCTCTCTCTCTCTTCCTCTTTTTTTTTTTTTTTTTAATATACTTTATTGATTTTTTACAGAGAGTAATGGAGAGGGATAGAGAGCTAGAAACATCGATGAGAGAGAAACATCAACCAGCTGCCTCCTGCACACCCCCTACTGGAGATGTGCCTGCAACTAATGTACATGCCCTTGACCGGAATTGAACCCGGAACCTCTCAGTCTGCAGGCCGATGCTCTATCCACTGAGCCACACCGGTTTCGGCTCTCCCTTCCTCTTGAAATCAATAAAAATATATTTAAAAACACACACACAATAAGATAGCGATTCACACCCTCTATAATCAAAAAGAAAATAACAAGTGTTGACAAGGTTGTGAAAAGAGTAGAACCCTAGTATATTGCTAGTGGGAGTGTAAAATGGTACAGCTGCTTTGGAAAATGGTTTGATGGTTCCTCAAAAAGTTGGAATAATCAAAAACAGAGAATTATCCTATGACCCAAGAATTCCAATCATAGATAAATATCCAAAAGAATTGAAAATAGGTATTCAAACAAAGACTTGTACAAAAATGTTCCTGGTAGCATTATTTACAATAGCAAAAAAGGTAGAAACCCAAATGTCCACCAACTGATGAAAGGATAAGCAAAATGTGACATACAGTAAGTCCTCACTTAACAACATCAATAAGTTCTTGGAACCTGCAACTGTAAAAAAATGTTTCTTATTGATTTTAGAGAGAGATAGGAAGGGAGGGAGAAAGAGGTAGAGAGAGAGAGAGAGAGAGAGAGAGAGAGAGAGAGAGAGAGAGAGAGAGAGAGAGAGAGAGAAACTTTGATTTGTTGCTCCATTTATTTATGCATTCATTGGTTGATTCTTGTAATGTGCCTAGACTGGGGATCAAACCCACAACCTTGGCATACTGGAATGGCACTCCAACCAACTGATCTACTCAGCCAGAGCAGGAAACTGCAATTTTATAATGAAACCCATTTGCCATAGGCTAATTGGTATAAACTTAAGTTTCTAATGCATGTTTTTGGTCACAAAACATTACCAAACTTCTAAATTAAGACTGAGATAAATGAGCTATCTATATTTTTAAAAGATTAATAAAAATAAGATAATTATTTTCCAACCTGCTTATTCCAATTCAGGATTGAGAGTGGCCAGAGCTTATTCCCGCAGCTCAGGGCGCAAGTGGGAGCCAACCACCCCGGACAGAATGCCCTTACATTGTAGCAAGTATTCACACCCATACTCAAATTGAGATAATTCAAATACACCAATTAACCTAACTGGCATTGCAATTCTACTTAATACATAGAAACAAACACAGGGAAGCAGCTAAAATGGGGAGACAAAGAAACATGTCACAAATGAAAGAATAGCAGAATTCTCCTAGGGAAAAAAAGAAATCTAAATGAAATGGAAGCAAGCAAACTACCAGACACATAGTTCAAAACAATGGTTATAAGGTTAACTCAAGGATCGTAATGAAGCTCCAAGGGACTTAGTGAGACTTGCAAGGATCTTAGTGAGAAGATCAATGACATGTTAAAGGACTAGTCAGAAATTAAGCATACATGAACTAAACTAACTTTACAGGAAGTCAACAGTAAAATAGAGGATTCTGAGAATCAAATCAACGATTTGGAATATGAGGAAACAAAAAGCACCCAATCAGAAAAGAAAAAAGAAAAAAGCATCCAAAAATATGAAGATAGTATTAAGAGCATCTGGGACAACTTCAAGTGTACCAACATTCGCATTGTGGCAGCGCCAAAATTAGAAAAAGAGAGAGCAAGATAAATGACAGCCCTAGTCAGTTCGGCTCAGTGGATAGCAACGGCCTGCAAACCAAAGGTTCTGGGTTCGATTCCAGTCAAGGACCTTGGTTGCAGACTCCTCCCTGGCCTGGGCCCTGGTCAGGGCTCTAGCAGGCAGCAACCAATCAATGTTTCTCTTACATCGATGTTTCTTTCTGTCTTTCCCTCTCTTTTTCCACTTTCCCTAAAAATCAATGGAAAAATATCCTCGGGTAAGGATTAACTACAACAAAAAGAAAAAATGACAGGAAACTTCCCTTACCTGGTAAAAGAAGTAGACTTACAGTCCAGGAAGCGCAAAGAGCCCCACACAATAGGAACTCAAAGAGGTCCACACCAAGACACATCATAATTAAAATGCCAAGGGTTAGCCCTAGCCAATTTTGCTCAGTGGACAGAGTGTCAGTCTGCAGACTGAAGGATCCTAGAGTCAATTCCAGTCAAGGACACATGCCCAGATTGTGGTCTTGATTCCCAGTAGGGGGAGTGCAGGAGGCAGCCGATAGATGACTCTATCTAATCATTGATGTTTCTCTCTCTCTCTCCTCTTTCCTCTCTGAAATCAATAAAAATACATAATTTCTTAAAATGCCAAGGGTTAAAGACAAAGAGAGAATCTCAAAAGCAGAAAAGCAATTACCTACAAGGGAGTGCCCACATAAGAGTAAGCTGATTTCTGAACAGAAACTTTGCAGGACAAAAGGGAGTAGCAAAAAATATTCAAAGTGATGAGTAGCAAGAACCTACAACCAAAATTACTCTACCCAGCAAAGCTATCATTTAGAATTGAAGGTCAGATTAAGAGTTTCACAGACAAGAAAAAGCTAAAGGAGTTCATCACCACTAGTTCACAGTATTACATGAAATGTTGAAGGATATTTTTTTTTAAATATATATTTTATTGATTTTTTACAGAGAGGAAGGGAGAGAGATAGTTAGAAACATCAATAAGCTGCCTCTTGGGGATATGCCTTCTACTGGGATATGCCCGAAACCAAGGTACATGCCCTTGACCGGAATCGAACTTGGGACCTTTCAGTACGCAGACCGACGCTCTATCCACTGAGCCAAACTGGTTTCAGCTGAAGAATATTGTTTAAGAGGAGGAAGAGGAAGAGATAAAAAATATTAACAATAGCCGAAACCGGTTTGGCTCAGTGGTAGAGCATCGGTCCGTGGACTGAAAGGTCCCAGGTTCGATTCCAGTTAAGGGCATGTACAGTGGCTGCAAGTTGGTCAATGTTTCTCTTTCATCAACGTTTCTGGCTCTCTATCTCTCTCCCTTCCTCTCTGTAAAAAAAAAAAAAAAAATCAATAAAATATATATTTTTAAAAAATATTTACAATAAAATGGTAATAAATATATATCAACAATTTCATCTAAAAATAAATGAACAAGCAATCTAATGAAAATAAACTGAGGGATAAAACAGAACCAGAGGCATGGAAACATGAAACAGACTGATGAATCTCAGAAGGGAGGAGGGAAGGGGCAGAGAGAGATTAATGAAATACCTTATTGCATATATGCATTACCTATAGACACAGACAATAGGTGGTGAAAGCCTAAGGTGGGGCGGGAATTGGGTAGAAGGGGGCAATGAGGGGATGGGGAAGACATATGTAATACTCTCAACAATAAAGATTTATTTTTAAATTGCATTTATTAACATCACCATTAATCGCACTGGGAAAGTAAGTTCTGGGAAGCTGTCAAACTCATGGTTTAATTTTTTTTTAAATTTTATTGATTTTTTACAAAGAGGAAAGAGAGAGGAAT